TTGCATGTGATATGGCAGATGGTCAAGACCAAGCCTGATGACCTGATGACCATAACTATTATTAGCACACCATCAGACTACTGGTATTACGTAAGGAATCCACCAGTTTCATTACTTGGTGATGAGGGCTGGAATTGCCAGCCAAAATCTGGTCCCATCAAAGTCGGAATTTGTCACGTTTAAATACCAAGTACAAATGTTTCGATTATAAAAATTATAAACGGGTGGCGGTTATTTTTCGAATAAAACAAGATTTGCATCTGAATGCAAAGCGTACTAAAGCAGGACTGACCTGACGAGATTCACATGACCCTTGTGTTCTGGAAGCGGGGTCCAGACAAGATATGACTTCGGTGTCGACAAAATGATGCGCAAGTTGTAGATGTTTCCTTCTTCTGAAACGAGGTCGCTGATATGTCGGTAGAATGTCATTTACAGTGGCGTACCTCTTGACGACAACTCCTTGGTTGCACCGTGGAAAACGGTCGACCATGGACTATAACCGAACCGGGACCTTGACCTCACTTTGAACTGAAACTTCTCGCCGGCGTTAAGATGATCAATGGTCACTCTGTTAGAAGATGTGAAGGACGGTGGTTTGTGGTCAGACACTTCTCCAAGATTGGGTCGCCAAATCTAACAATGTGAAACGATAGAAATTATCCGTCACTCAACATTTGACTACTTGCTTACCACGTATTCATAGCCCTCGATCGGTCCGTATGACTCGTCACAAACCGGATGATCCCATGTAATGATAACGCTGGTTTTCGTCTTGACGTACGTCTTGATGTTTCTCGGTATACCGGACGTACCTGAAAGCAAAAGATGTCTAATGCTTAATTATCGTGGTCTCAAGTTGTAACTCACCTGCGCATGATACAGAACTCTCTGAACTTCCAACACTGAACTCATCGCTGACAGCAACCACTTCGCCGACCAAATTTACGACATAAACGCGAACCGAATAGATCAGCGTTTCAGACAGATTCGTCAGATTTGCCCTGTACTCTTGCTGTTCCAAGTGGTAAGGAATCAGATCACCGTATTGTTTCCACCTGGAAGCACATAGGTAAATGTTTAAGCGCATAATATAGCAAAACACAATGTTGTACAAATACCAATTCAAATTTACTGCTATCATGGCGTATAAAATTGGCGTGAAACCTGATCTAACTCGTAGGGTTTAAAGATCGTAGATGATGCGCCATCTGTTTCTCACACAGCAACTGAACTGCTTTGCCAGACCCTGGATTTAAATGCCACTAAGTAGGACCAGATCGAAACCCATTGGCACGCATGAAAAGCAACATATCCGATTATGAATTTTGACTGACCCTCTGAAGAGTCATTAGCCTCGCTCGAAGTACGCCGTCAAGTGTTTTGTGTGAGTGACACTGTTATCAAAACAAACTGCATGTAGCTGTGTCACTAAAAAGCATCAACGAAGTCATTTACTTACGTTTTGCTAAATCAAGTGTACGTGCATCACATGTGGTAATGGCAGTTAGCCATTCAGCTGTCTTAAACGTCCATCTTTACAGACGTACATTCCTATACAATCGGGTGCAAACAGTTTGCATACAAAGACATATCGACGTTCACAATTTGTAGACGTGTAAGTCAAACATTTCGTTCTTATGCTAGCTGGCAGTTTCAGTGAGGCTCAGAACCAAAATGTCCCTAGTAGTTTATATTCCCTGAAAAACTACTGTATTGGCTGCGCAGAATAGACCGCGTATTTCTCTTACCATTCTTTCTCCTGCAGTCGTGTATGTCATTTTTAAGGCAGAACAAAACTTAGAAGCCAAACAAAAACAGTCACTGCTTTGACATTGAAAAGAAACATAACGTCGCCCATGATGGACATGTCACTCGCGACACCGAGGCCATTGCACCGTCAGCACAAAAGTAGAGGCGGTACTTAAACTTCCAGTGAATGGCTACTGAGGTCTAATTTACAGTTTTCGCTATGTCGCCTTGAACTCGTGTAATTCAGCAGCAAACAGATATCGTAAATAAACTTCTCACTTTCCAAATTATCAGCTCTAGAAGAGGTGAATGACAATGTAATTGAAACTTCTTCTGACAAGTCGGGAGAGTGAAAATTCGGTCTCGGAAGTGGGACTCAATGTCGCTGTCCTCAGACTGGCAACGATTAGAGAAACTGGCCTCGTTTCGCTTGCATCAACTTTCGTTCCCTTTGTATCGCTCAGCGGTCAGCATCGTTGAACGCCTGTCCGTCTAGTCGTTGCGGCTATTTTGAGGGAAAATCCTGTTTCTTAATCCTCCTCTGACGTAGTTTTTAAAAAGGAAATTGGTCAGCTGTCGATCAGCCAAAGTTGTAACGCTTCAGCAATATCTAATTCGTGGCTCGTAAGGTTTCTAGTGACTCAAAAGCTTCGCTGTCTCTGCTTACGTTTCATGGTGAAAGGAGAACCGTAAAGGGCCTTCTGAGACGAATCGCTGGTCTCACGCAGCTCGACAGCTCCGGAGTTTAGATATTTGAGCCGTTGCTTTTCCAGATTGTGAATTTATGGCTGCGAGGGCTAGGACACTTTGTGCGACTGCTTCCAAAAAGGAAGGAAGAAAAAATAGTAAATCATATATATATATATATTTCTTTTCAAAACGCGATAGTGGTTATGGACCGAATGAGAGATCGAAGTCAAATCTGTCACACTACAGCTGGGAGTCTGGATGTTCAGAG